GGTTGGGAGGCAGGTCAGAAGGAGACCAGAAGCTTCTCTCCTACGGCCCAGCTGAACAACTTAGCTTAGGTTTCTTGTGGGGAGGGGGAGCTCTTTAAGGACTCAGAGGTACAAAGAGGGGGCCCAGTGCAGACCTGTTTCTCCCCAGCAGAGGAAACATCAGAAGGGCCAATGGGGGCCCCTGTCAGAGTGCCCCAGGGGAGAGCTGTCCCAGGGCAGCAGTGGGAAAGTCTGTGGGTTCAGCTGTGCTCACCTGCTGTGGGGGTTGATCAGAACAATAGGCTGGCTGCTGTTGATGCCCTGGGTAAAAGGAGGAGAGGAAGCTGGACCGGCTGGTGTTCTTGCTACAGGCTTGGGAGAGTCTGTTGGATCAGGAGCTAAACACAGAGAGCAGAGCATGGTTGTGAGTGTCACAGGTGGCTCCCATGGTCTCCACACCCCACCCCCAGGGGTGCAGAACCTTTCTGTCTTAGTGCCACTGCTCAGCCAAGTTGGCTTTCTCTTGCATCTTTTTGGTTTCTTATCCCAAATATGAATACATATTTCCAGAGGAACACGAGTTTGCCAGCGCGTGAGAGATTTTCAGCGGCAGGCATAGTCGTAGGTGAGTTTCGAGACTCCCCTTCATCCATCGGGGAAGACAGAGAAATAGTCCTGACTCCTTTGGGGGTGGGACTCAGGGTCCCAGAGCACAGGAAGGGTAGTACCTACCTGGGTCAACATCCACGTATACTTTGTACCCCAGGTCATTGCCAGCTTTCTCAATCCCACACCAGTAGGTGTCTGCATCGTCATACCAGAAATCCTCCAATGTCACGGTGAATATGCGCTGGCTATGATTGTCCTGGATGGATGCTCGGCCCTTCTTCACCAGTTGCTCTGACCCGGTGCTTTTAACAAGGATTTTGCAGGAATCCCACTCGTACCCACGACACCACCATTTCTTGTAGGATTCCCAACCCCGCCCATATGTACAGTGCACGGTCAGTGTGCCCATTGCCGTGCCTCTCACTGTTCTCTGCACGCAGGTGGAGAAGTGGCCTAGAAAACAGAAACCCAACATGCATCTTATCCTTCCTTGAGCCCAGAGCTGACCCGGGCACCGCTGGGGCTTCTGGCCCTGCCCTGAAGACCAGCCAGGAGCCTCTGCCCTCTGTCTAATTGCCACATCCCTCCTGTCCCTTCATCCCCTGCAGGATTTCTTTTCTGTCACCCCTCTTGTGAATCCCCCTTGAGGCTCCTAACTCTCCTAACCAATACAGGGCTCTCTGCACACTCACCATCCTACTGACCACCTCCCAGCAGCACAGAGCGCACACTGCAGCCACAGGTGTATTTCTGAATCCCAGAGCTGGTGAGACAGTGTGGCCCCCTCCCCATCTATGCCTCGATACTGTAAACTCCGCACACCTACAAACCCTCAGCCTCTGAATCGACACAATGGCACAGAAGTAAACACACACGCACACACACACACATACCAAACACACTCACTCGACAGGTGATTGCTTGTGTGTGTGTTTTTTTTTTTTTTACCTATACACCTTGTTCTTCTGTGTCTCTATAATTTAATGCAAGCTGTTCCCTCTGCCTAGAATGTGCTTTCTTCTCTGTTTGAAGGAAGCAAACCCTTATATTCATCCCTTAAGTCTCATCTCCAACAGTGTCTTTTCTATGGTTTGTCTGGTTCTGCAGACCATCTCGTCGCTCCTGGTACAACCAGAGCCATTTGTCCCTGTCACAGGTGTTGTGCTAATGACACTAGATGATGATCTGTCTTTAGATCATCCAGAGAAGAGACCCAGCCAGGCTGGTGTGTGGGGACGAGCAACTCTCCAGAGAGCCTGTCACCCTGGTTTTGCTGCCTGCCTTCCTCCCTGTTGTCTGAGGTCTTCAGAAGAGGATTCTGGCTCAAGCTTCAAGTCAAGACCAGATGTGTAAGTTTTTAAATGATCCAGTTGCCTGAAGTTCACCTTGACTGAGTGGGTCTCAACTGGGGCTTGAGCATCTGTGCTTCTTTAAAGTTCCTCAGGAACTCATGCATTTAGGTATGTGTGCATGTGTGTGTGTGTGTGTGTGTGTGTGTGTGTATGTGTGTGTGTATCATGTGTCTATCCATCCATCTGTCATCTGTCTATCCTTCTCTCTGCCAGGATTGGGAAACTGTGCCTAGAAAGCAGACACTGTACGCGTTATTTATTTCCTTCCCCTAACATTTAACTCTGTACCTTTCAAGTAACAAAACTTAAAAAGTTTTATAAATACGTAAGTGTCTGGATATGAAAGGCCCTGCCATCTCTCTCAGGACAGACCCTATCTGTGTCCCATCCTGATCCTGCAGGTACTTAGTAAGCCCCTGCCTTACTCACCTTGGACGACGAGAAGGATCACAACCGGGAGCAGCCGCATGTCCTGCCTGCCTGGCTTGTCTCCCTGGTGCTCAGCAAATGCCAGCTGCCTTCCAGAGACTTGAACTGAGCACAGAGGCAACCTACCTTCTCTTCTTCTAAATTATCCTTTTTTGTTTTCTCTCATCTACTTCCCCTCAATTTTTTCTTCAGTTACTTCCTAATTTCATTAATTTGGTGCAAAGCAGCGGCAACGGTTCGGAGCTTATGGCTGACGTGATGAGGTGGCCCCACTCCTTGCTCTGGCCCCTCAACTCAGCATCCCCTAGAGTCTGACTCTGATGATCTGCTCTCTGGGGAGGGTCCCTGCCTGTCCCCCCCACCCCCCACTCTAGCACCACCTCCAGTCTGTGCGCACCTACTTCCTGCCTCCCCCCCCATCTTCCAGCCCAGTTCTCCACTTTAATGGCTGTTGGAGCCTTGTAGAACTGTCCACCCTGTTAGCACCTCAGATGTGCTCCAAATGCCATTTCTTGTCATCTTTACCCCTAAAGTCAATCTGTCCCAACACATGGTCACTGAGCCCAGGGATCCCTCTCCACCTGCCTCCACCACTCTAGTC